CAGAATGGCAGACCGCCCCAGCTTATTCGCCGAGTAGAGGCAAAACATTGCCCCAGAACACAACAAACAAACAGGCAGAATGGCAGACCGCCCCAACTTATTCGCCGAGTTCAGGCAAACCATTGCCCCAGAACACAACCAACAAACAGGCAGAATGGCAGACCGCCCAAACTTATTCGCCGAGTAGAGGCAAAAACTTTCCCCAGAGCACAGTTTTTTCGCAATTTGCGCATATCTTCATATATCCATGTGAAATTATTAAGTCGCCATTTTCCCGCCACTGACTACTTATCTTTATAACTTCGATGACTCAAAAGGGAAATCTCTCGAAAAATGCACTTTTCGTAAAACGAGAGACTTTATCGCCACAAAGATTACTCGATAAAGCGTACCACCTCTTTCTGGAATTGTATCGCTGGAGAGAACATCCTCCATGGCCGAAGTCTACTCGGAGCTTCCCTGTCGATTACTTCTAGGATTTGCCGCCAATACCATCGTCATCAAGAGTAAATAATTAAGGATAAAATTTCAACAGCTAGGGTCTGCCAAATTTCAATGACTGATTATTTTCAGAGGAAAAAGGAAAGTGTTCTAAGCCGGTACTTTGTACTACACCTCCGTTAACCACAAAACATACTGTCATAATAGATTAGTGTGACGTCATGGAGTCTCGCTGTGCAATCCTGAACTAAGCTAAGCTCCTCATGTTACCGTAAAAAGTCGTTAAAAAAACATTTGTTCTGAAATCAAACTTGCAATTACAAATCGCACTCCGCTACGCGGTCGTGCGATTACAAAATCACACGAGTTTGATTTCAGTCCAAATTGCACTCCACTCAGTTCAATTACCATTATTAATTGTTTGGTTGTAATTTTGAAGAGCTATATAAAATGAAGGAGCCAGTAAACAACCCCTGCGTTATGAATCAGGTGAGATATCTTGTATGATTCAATCTCGTAGCCAGAGCCTGCGTTTCTTCTGGCCTGCGGCGAAGAACGAGGGCTCTGGCATAATCCATTTCTTGGGAACAGGATTTCTTGGACTTCCGGTAAGAGTGCAAGCGTTCAAAGACTTGCCAAAAATTAAAAACATATGATCCCGATTTCTAATTTTTATTTTGGTGGTAAATAAACACAGGACTCTGTTTTAAAGCATGTTTTTCATTGATTATGTTTTACTTCCGGAAAATTGCGCATGCGCCAAAAATGGATTATGCCAGAGCCCTCGTTCTTCGCCGCAGGCCAGAAGAAACGCAGGCTCTGGCTACGAGATTGAATTCAATATTATTAAAAGGAGACTTTGGAAAGAACGGACTGACATTATCTATGGCTTTATTTATTTATTTGATTCAATATTTTTTTAACGTGAACATCTAATTTAACAATTTTAAAAACAGGCTAGTTTAAACAGAGTCCTGTACAAAATAAATATAATTACAAAGTAAATGAACACTACCTGAATTACAAGTCACATTATGATACAGTACAATAATAAATCAAAACACGACAATCCTTATGGTTATTTCTAGAGTTTAAAATTGCGCTTGGCCTTTGCCTTAAACTCTCCGAGATTGGAAGAGTTTCTTATATCTAACGGAAGTGGGTTGAAAGTGCGCGCTGTCATTTTTTCTTAATGCTTCAGGTGCCTTGCAACACCAAGAAAGAGCTAATACTGCTCGTTCAATGCCCAGCCAGCGCGTGCGTGTATTTCTAAACAACATTCATGCAGTTTATTACCTTCAATAGATCTCCTCGGCTCTGACGTAATGTTTTCCCATTTCAGATCACATGTCATTCCCTAGAGTATCATTTCTTTGTTTAACAGTTGCACATGAGAAGACACATAAATATGGATACAGCTCAAATTAAGAATCTTATTCTCAAGGGAATGACACGTGGTCTGAAATGGGAAAACATTACCCAACAATACCACTCTTCCCCTCCCCCACCACAAATGATGTTTTTTGATATCCTGTTATTATTGGCTTTAGGGTGAATACGTGCTGAAGTTGGTTTGCAAAAATCAAAATGACGACACCATATTCTGCGGAAAGTGGACGTTCACATGGGTGTGAAAGTCTTTATGACAAGAAAGAAGAACAAAGTTATATCGTTATTAAAGCAATGATGTTTCCGCTATTTTGTCATGCGCTTATTTTTTCACGCGTTTATTACGCGTACTTCGTCACAAACTACGTCATTATGACGTCATAGTGATGTAATTTGTGACGAAATGCGTGTAATAGAACACACATCCAAAACTCGAAAAACTACGATTTTGCTTTTATGGAATTTTATCTTTTCTTCATTGCGACGGCTTTTACTGTTTTCGCGCTTAAATAGCCCTAAAGTTTAACCATATATGTTAATGTGGCGGGAAATTTGAATTTCTTTAATTAGCTGTTACTTTACGTCATTTAATCTGATTTAGATGGGGCCTTCACCAGAAATCATAAAACTTAATAAAAAGTTTTTTTAGCTACCAGTTCTTTCGAAATTTTTTAAGCCGATGCCAAATTTGCACATAATTTATGACGTCACAATAGCTGTCACATTACATGAAACAGATCAGTCAATAGCTTATTAATCATATTACTTTCTTGCCAAGTTTTGTTAAAATGTATGCGTTCTACTTTTGTCAATGGCCTAAAACATTAAGTTTTGAGTGATGCGGGATCAAAAGCCATAGCAACGCGACCATCGTGAGAAATTGCCCTGAAATTGTTTGATTGTTCTTTCAGATAGAAAAATGATTCAACTCTTCGACATTTCTCGTTTCACTCGCTTAATTTTAACTTAGCATTTAATTCGCCTTTCTCGGAATTGAGGAGAGACTGGAATGAACAAGTGTAGAAATATTAATCTAATAAAAAAGCAAACCTCACCCCATGAAAGCTCTAGACACTCCAATAAACTGATTTAATTTATCTTATTTACAGCAATTGTTTGTTTGTCACGCTTTAAAATTAACGGAGGTGCTCTTTAAAGCGAATAAAGCTGTTTTAATACTTTAAAGTGTGACGTAATTCAAACAAAAAACGACTTCTGGGTCAAAATTAAAAATGACTTCTAGAGACATTTTTCTGTGTTTTTTTATGTCTTCATCGCAGGATTTTTCGTTCATACATCTAACTGTTGAAGATAGAAGAGAATAAATGTCTTTGGGGGGTAACCAATCGAAAAACTGCCCCAAATTGAAAGGTTTCTTAATTTGAATTTATACTATACCTGCTTTTATCTGTAAAATACTGATTATCAGTTTATTCCAAGTTATTTTTGCGTGTACAGATCATGATAAAACGTTTAAATTTAGGAAAAAATGTTTAAAATTTACTTTAAACGTCGTCGAGCTTCTATCTTTTTATGTTTTTTACCTCTTCATTTTAACTTTGGATACTAAACAAGGAATTGTCAACATTGTCTGATCATCCTTCAGCAAATTAAGTGGAGATTAAGAGAGAGAGAGAGAGAGAGAGAGAGAGAGAGAGAGAGAGAGAGAGAGCCGCCAGTCAAGAACATAAAATGATTGACGGCAGCGAAAAACCACATTTCAGCGTGCAGCTTGTAACTCAGTAAGCAACTCTAGTCACATAAAACGAGTCTTGTGAATGGAATGTCACGACAATAGCGATCTTCATAGTCTATATTAAAAAAATTACCGTCGAAACAGGAAGTGCAAGCAAGCAGTTTCTTGGAAAAATCCCCTAGCACGAGGTAAGAGTTATATAGTATGATAATAAAGAAAGCTTAAAGTTTACTTTCCGTGGTTCTTGAAATCATTGAAACATCGACTTCAAAGTAGAACGCGATGAAGAAAAAATATGCTATTTTGATCTTATTCTTCGCAATAACATTTATATTACAAACTAACTTGGTTGACACCGAATACGGTAAGTCAGTTCAGTTATATAACGGAAGTTGGTGAGGTTTTGTATAGTCATGAGAATGAAATGACGGTTGGTGATTTACATATATGTAGGGCTCTTTCTATATATACACGAGGGGTGATTACAGTCATGAGAAAGATGGTTTGAATGAGGTGTAGATAGGCTCTGATGGGGGTCATCACATCCAGGGTTTCTTTACCTCATCAATATAGTTCTTTTACCTCCCTCTGATATTGGTTAGCAATGATGAAGTGTTAAGAGATGGGACGGCAATTGAAAGTGGTAATCCGAGCCACTATAGAAAATATAACTATTTATCTATATATTTACCCATTCTGCTTAAAAATTAAACTATGATTTCAATTGAATGCTTTTGAAGATAATGAGAGACAGCGCTGAAATCCTTCTGGTATTGAGAATTTAAAACAATGTTTTTGCTGACAGGGTTTCGTTTCAATACTGAATGTACTTTGAAATGTTATTATATCTTTTAAATGCAAAAAGAAGATGCCATATGACTTTACCATCTAGAATAATCATTAATTATGCTTTAGATTTGGGATCTAAAATAATGAATCAATTTAAGATACTATTATGTTTTCTTGAGGGCATGTGACTTTTAAGAAGAGTCACCGGATGGAATCACGCATACTAGCGCGTGACTTGTAAACAAATACTCGCGACATCTTTTGTGATAAAGGATATCAAAGGCACTCGCGATCAGCTATTGCAAATTTAGTAAACTTAATCTATTTAACAAAAAGAAAACGAAAACAAAAACAAAACAAAAACGATTTTAAATAATTCTTAATAGACCCCTTGCAGTGCGTTGGAATGAAACTCAATATGAAAGACATAACGATTAGTTTCCAATTGTCGGGAAATTGAAATTCTTTTGTTTTATAATTGTCCTCCAAATTAAACTTCTTTTGAGTGTCACCATTCCCAGTCAAATGGTGTTTTCTTTTTGCTTTTTTCTTTTCATTTAGCGAACTGTCAAAATCAACAGTTTTCATTCATCGATGACAAGTGCATAGTCACTAGAGCAGACGGTACCGAGATCGTCTGCCAAAAAGAAATTCTCAACACAAGCCTTAGAATAACTATCAAAGTCAAGAAGTGTGATGCTCCTATCGCTCTTGATGTCAGTATTGAGGCTTCAGGATATGAAGGGTTTGAACAGTTCACCTCAAGCCAGATGTCACGTGACATACGTCACTTGGGGGACCAGAACACCAAACTGAGGCTGAGAGTATCGTTAGACAATACTACAACGAGAATTGGACTCAAGGCAAGTCACCGTGTTACACTGTAACATTTGCTGATTGTGAAGTATCAACGTTAGTAACTACGAACGAACGAACGAAAGAACGAACGAACGAACGAACGAACGAACGAACGAACGGACGGACGGACGGACGGACGGACGGACGGAGGAACGAACGATTGATTATTACCGATATTCAACAGATTAATATGATCACTGGATATGTACGACATGGGGCATTCAACATCAGCTCATCAACTCCTCTTGTTTACGGCGGCTTGAAGCGCACTGTAAATGAATGCGCTCCTTCGATCAAAAGAGGAAATGGTAAGATCGATAAAAAGTTTATTCGGTCCTTCTCAGTGGTGCTCTAGGGAGGTTAGGGTGGAGTCAGGGGGAAGAGGGTGGAGTTGGACAATAGTCCCTTTCCCTAAAAACCTAAAATGCATGTTTTCTTTTTATACTTTTTTAGGATTTTTAAGAATTACTATCTAATGAAATTCCTATAAGAATTCTTACCGATAGCGTTATCTTCACATGAGAATACATCGCTTTTTAGTAATATAGACATTATATAGATATTTCATCTATGAATACATTCCGAGGTTTAGTAAAAGACTGGTACGAGATAGATTTGCAGTGCATTGTGGGGCTATTTTAGTCCCACAATACGCTGCAATGCCAACTCGACCCAGCTTTTTCTCGACCTTGGAATAGTTAATACTAAAATAAAAACATGGCGGCCATGTTGGATCAATAACAAAGGGACATGTCAAATCCTTTGCTAAATTCATCCAACATGGCGGCTATCGAAAACAGAAATACTCCAGGTTCGAGTTCTCTGTTGCTCAGGGTTAGCCTCGAATGTGTGCAGAATATTCACGTATTCCAGTGAAGGTCCGTGGAATTTCAAAGTGTTTGTATTGTTGAAGTTGTGCATTCTTTACTTTACCGTTGGTATTTGTGAATATTAGTATACTGAAATAAGGCTAACCCTAAGTAAATGAGTCTGTAATAGTCCAGTTTCGAGTTTCAAATTACCGCTGTGTTTCTTCGTTACAGACTCATTTACTCAGGCGTAGCCTCGAATCAGTGTCTAATTACTCGCACATACCAACGGTAAAGTAAAGAATGCACAACTTCAACAATACAAACACTTTGAAACTTGACGGACCTTGACTGGAACACGTGAATATTCTTCACAAAATCGAGGCTAACCCTGAGTAAATGAGTCTGTAATCAAGAAACACAGCGGTAATTTGGAACTCAAAAAGGGTCTATCAATTACGAGTTATATCATATATATTATATTTTTCAGATATTCTTAGCGGCGGAGAGATAGCAGGGGTAGTTGTAGGATGTATGATTGGATTTGTCCTGTTGTGCGTCCTATGCTTCTGGCTTGTTTCGTTCTCTATCTCAGGAATTTTTTGTAATGAACTTGATGGCGGTGTTTAAGGCCTTAAAAAATGGTCCAACCTGTTAATCGAGTCAAACTAGATTTTCTTGATTTTGGTGTTGGGTAATTATAACTTTCCTTAGTACAACTAAACTATGGATTAAACGCTACTCAATTTTGGTCAGCGGTACGCCGAAATGATTGAATTTGATTGGCTGAAAACATTAAGCCATTACCAGCAATGTTACAGGTCGTGAAACTAGGTATAGTTGGAGGCACATTCTATTTCATGTCATCACAAGCCTACAGCAAACTTAACTTCAGGTAAAAGAGCCTTTATGATAGCTCTTACCTGATAGGAATAAGATTGCAACATCGTTAATTAGCCTCAAGAATCTTTTAATATATATTTTTTCAAATTAGTATCATTTTAACTATCATATTTATGACATTTATGACATTATGACTATGTTTTTTATCAATATTATTAGTTTATGTAAATAGGATGTAGTTTCAATATTTTAGATTTTATATTGTAAATTTTTTGTAGTACACAAGGCCCCTCTGGATACCAGCCAAGTTGCGGATTGGGCTAAAGTTTTCCTAACTTTAAATAAAGTTTACCTAACTTTAAATAAAGTTTACCTTAATTACTTTACCGGCGGGTCTTTAGTCAATTAAAGGTAATATGAAGACACGTCTACGACACGAGTGAAAAACGTCTGCGCATGCTCTGAATCCGTATGCAAATTAGTCAAAACATAAGTAAACTTGACTTTCAAACATGCCTGATAAATTGGACTTCACAAAATGCCAAAACTAAGTGTCCATGCTTGAAACTTAAGGCTAATTCTTTCATATTGTGTTTGTTAATACAGTAACTTGGTCTGACAAAAGTATACTCTCGAACTTTTTTGTATACTTGGAGGAAACAAACATTTATCTTCTCACTCAAATTCTTCAAAATTCTTTAGAAAATGTGTTGTAGTGCACGCATGCCCAAACGTTTTTCTCTAGTGTCCACGTCTACACTATATAAAAATGGAAAGCTTTGACTCTAGTCGATCAATTATAAGTCGATAATATAGATATTAGATAGACAGGTATATATGATATAAATGGTTACTTTTCTGCTTAGATTAGACGCTGACAGGCATCCCAGCCACTTTTTAGACAAATTTGATAGGAAATGTAGGCTGTGCAAGTTCTAAATATAGGAAAATATAGGATTTTTTCCCAAAAATATATGCACTTTATAGGAGCTAAGATAGCTTTTCGGTGGCGTAACCAGGGATCGGGAGGGTGCACAGGCAATGATTTGCAGAACTAAAAAGCCATAAAAA